ACCCCATTTGTGAACAATTTCCGTATATGAAATCCTGAACTTTGTCGTTTCTGCCTTTGGGGAAGCGAATTGAGATCCATGGAAACTTGTGGTGGAATAAAATCTATTTCTCTTAAAAGGTATCACAAGAGACTCTTCACTGATGATGGAAAAGGATAACATTGGCCCTCCTCTGAAATTTGTTATTCACATTTTCTCATTTTCTGTGGCTTCCCCCCCTTCCCCCCCCTTCCCCCGTTCATAGATCAAGTACTGACATTTTGGATATTTTGGTATTTTCAGTGTCTGTTTATTTTTTTTTTACCCTTTCCCTAGCCATTAAAAAAAGTATAGCCTTTTGGCAATCATTTCCAGCTGGGTAAGGCTGTTCATCAAAACTAACAGTCCTGTCACTGCATCTTTGAGGCTAATGAAATGGGCCGCAGATGATGAGAGTTCAAGCCAAATACAGTTGTGTCAGAATTTTTTTATTTATTTTAGGTTTATATAGGTTTGTACCTAGTTTTTCTGTTGGAAGTAGTCAAACGATGAGAGCCAAGGACGGTTGAAGGAAGTGGCAGAAAGCAATGTGCAGAACAGGATGTGCTGTTAAGTTTTACTAATTTTGTAATAATAACACTCCAGTCTGGATTTGAGAAAATAAGAAAGCTTGAAAGTGGCTTCTTTCTAGATTTCACAGTCAAAATCCAGATCCACGTGATGCTGAAGTTTCCTGTACAGTGTGGTGGTGCTAGTACAGTAGAATCATAGCCCTTCTATGTGCAGATAATTCCTCTGGGCAGCGATTCCCAGTGTGGTGTAGTGGATAAGAGTGATGGACTAGGACTCTGGAGAACAGGGTTCAAATCTCTGCTCGGCCTCAAGCCACACCTTAAACATCTCACCTTGAAAGCCCTGTTAGGGTCACTATAAGTGTGCTCCGACTTGACAGCACAGAACACATACACACACAATTCTTCTAAGCATTTGTTGCGGTCTTGACGGTGATGAGACTTTGAAAAGGATTTCTCTAATAGACCTCAAAGCCCAGGCAGGCTTGTATGGGAAAATACAGCCTTTCAGATATTCTGCATCCAAGTGACACAATTCTCTTTGAATTGTCCCAGAAATGTAGAGGAGCCTTTATTCTATTCGCTTGAAATGCGTGTTGTCTATTGGGAATTTGTTTTTATTCCTGTAAGCTTCTTAGTGAGCGTATTGATTCTTGAAGTGTCTTGAACTAGCAAAATTGCCTAGCTTCACATGTGTTCGGATACCCCTAACAGCGTGATAGGCAAAAGGTTTGGAGGAACAACATAAGGGAGCTGTCAGGGTCAAACACATGAGGCCAAATCCGTCTAGTAATCCGGACTAGAAAAGATACATTGAATCAGTAGGGTTTACATAAATGTTGCCTTATAATTCAGCAGTTGATTAAATACTGAATTACTTACAAGGCTGGCTGTCCAAGGCCTGTTGCTGTGAGATAAGTACTATTCCCAACAAGACATTAAAGACGGAGAGGGTGTGAGGAAGCATTCAGTGTTGTTCTCCGGCTTTCAAGCACCCCTGCAGTGTAGTTTCTACCTCTGGCTGCCATGCTGTCATGGGCTAGGTTTCCTTAATGAATGCTTTGAACAGTGAAGGTGGGAGCATGGATGATTTCTCCAGACTGCCAAGTTCTCTGTTTAGAACAATGGAAAACGGATGCATTTCCTTTGTACAGGGAGACCCAGCTCTGAAGAAAAGGAAAAGTGAGGCTTTCCTTACGATCCAGTGACATACCAAGGCCTGGAGGGGATGAGAACTGAGTTATTATACAGTAGCAGTAATACTGGAGTGCCTTGGGATTGTGCAGCTTGCCCAAGGTACAGTAGCAGTAATACGGGGGGGGGGCTTGGGATTGTGCAGCTTGCCCAAGGCTATATAGGCTGGCTCTTCTCCTGGGGGCCACAGTGGAGAATTGAAGTCCTAACCTTCCAGCTGGCTGAGCGATCCAGCCAGCATACACAGTATGAGCAGGGGACATTTAGAACTGAATGAGTCTATGCCTTCATGCCCTAAAGAAAAGCATTTATTTTATAAAAATTGAAGTAAGGCTACCTCTGGGTTTGTTCTAAATATTGGGCTGTATACTTTATGTTTTCTAAAAAACATGACTGTTGTCTTAGTCTGGAAACTAAATGGTTACAACACACTGCTTCCTGGAAAAAAAATTAAGCAGAATATGCTGTTTATGTGAAAGGTGTCATGCAGATGCTTTCATGGGGAGAATTAAAGTGTCAAAGTTTAGTTCTTGCATACCTTTACGTTTTGTAGGGTAGATTTGATAAGAGTTGCTGCTGTCAGTGCAAATACATTTTCAAGCAAAAAAGATGTGTTAAAATGGCTGATTAATACTTGCTTTATTTGCTGATTTGTTTAACTGGCCGTATATTTATGTTCTCTTCTTTTTTTTAACTTCAGAAAAGGTTAGGAAGAAAAAGGTTATTAATTGCAGAGCTCTGCAGAGTCCCCTTACCCTTTCCAACAATAAAAAAAAGTAAGACTCCCAGCTGGACAAGCAGCTATATTTGTTTTCTCCAAGATCAGTCTTCCTCACACCTTTTAGACTACTTGCTGTTAAGAAAAAATAAAGAATTCCTCTACGACTGAGTCCAACCGAGAGCTGAATTAGGCCTTTAAGAGCCTCCTTCAGTGCACAATTAGATTCTTCTCTAGCTGGAGGACGCTGTGTGTCTCATGACACTCAGCTTAGAGCAGGAATGTGCTGAGAGCAAAAGACGCGGGGCCCTGCCTTTTAAAGCATATCATGATCCAGTGGAGTCCAGAAAACATGAAACTGTTCTGACATGTTTAAGACTATTATTTTATGTTAGCTTAGTTCACAGCCTTCTGCTTGGTTCTCTCCTACTTTGGTGTAAGTCTAATTTAGGTTGGGATTTGGTAGCAATAATTTCCTATGGTTCATCCTCTCTTTTGCCGAGACTTAATGGTTATAACGTACTCGCATACAATGAAAAATACAACTGAAACAACTACCAAAAAAAGCATAAGAAGCAACTGTAGCATGCAATTATGTTGCATGCTACCTTTTGTTACATGATTTTAATCTGCAGCAGTTGCAAAAGCAGCAGCTTAAAACGGTTAACCCTCATTATTGCCATTGAACGACTGCCTAGTTTTATGGTATGTTAACCACTTAAGCCAATACTCAGATTAAATTAGCTTCTAGTGGATTAATCTGGCTATAGCTCCTGGCACCTTAAAGACTAAAAAAAAATTGGTTGATGTAAGCTTTTGTGGGCATCAGCCATTTCTTTCCATGCATCCCTCTGAGCCTGTGAATATAAATAAAGCCACTTATGAGACAGTGGCTGTAAACATTAAATGCTGCTTACTCAACAGAGAGGAGCAAGTACGGTTGCCCGAGGGTTGACGATTCAAGATGGGCTTTGTAAATATCCTGTGTAGTAACATGTCTTTTTAATTAAATAACAGATAATAGTTTTGAGAAATTTTTGAACCTCATTATCATAAATGTTTTTTTTAAAAAAGGAAAATAAGCTTTTGGGTTTCTTTTCCTCTACAGTACTTCTTATTTTCATGGGTCAGGTAACCTATGAACTGTTCATTTTTGTGGTTCTTACTCTTACAAAGCCCATGTTCCTTATCTTGCAAAGATTTACACTTGTGACTTGAATTACTTGGCACATTACTTGTATCAGGGACACGTCTTTTGAACCCTTGTCTGTGATTAAAGGGCTACTTTTCTAACGCTGAGCTCTTACATGTTTTAGCAATATCTCTATGGGTACAGTCCTAGTACAATATTAGTTTGTCCTTTGTTTTCAAAGAAAACCATCTCTATCTTATATAAAAATGTTTACATATTTTTCCACTGCTCTGGATATAAAGCATTTTCCTGTGAGTTGCGTATATGTTGTCAGTATGGGGTTAGGAGGGCAGAGAAGGGGCTCTAAAGTTGCCTGTTTTAGCCTTTTCTGTTGGTCAACAGAATAAGAGTGCAGATTATTTATGATGTTTAATGTTGGGCTCTCGCCACAAAGGATCTGATTTCAGTATCGGATAAAGCTCTAAAGTTTTTTAAAAAAAGAAGTGCCAATGCCAAAGGCTGGCATCTGTGTAAAAGCAAGAGGAATGAGTTCGCGTGTCCTAGTGGGCAAATGAGATGAGGTGGGCTGGTAAGAGAGAGAGCCTTGGGGGTTTCTCAGGAATGAGAGTCCGAAGTGATAAGCAGGCAGCGAAAGTGTGGGGGAAACCAGTTACAGGCTGGATAAGCAAGCGCCTGCTCGATTTTTATAAAAACATGAGTGCCCCCTCATTCTTTTAGCAGAGTATTTAGAAGAGCTTCCTGAAACAGATGAACCTGCATGGATTCTAGGAAGGCAGCACCACCTTAGAACAGGTACGTTGGAATGAAAAGCTTGCCGTTATTTTTTTCCCTTTCCCCTTCGAGTGCTTCTTCCCACATCCCCCCAGTTTTCCAGTTCCTTTTTAAAGCCAAGGGCCGGTGGGGTCCTTCTGCTGGTTCCTGCGGCTTCAGCCCTAGGTAACCCCTCCATTGCTCTTGCCCACCTTGAAAACCTGCTCCAGAGGGGTAAGAAATCCCCTAGGAGTAGGTTTTGGGGCAGAGCTGGAGAAGTGAAGGGGGGAAGAACCTCCCAGTTCTGGTTCTGTTGCATAGTGAATTGCCTAGCTGGGTTTTCACCGTGGATGCAGCAGCAAACCTAAAGCGTGTGCCTTCATTTGTAATTGGCGATCTCTATTTTTAACACTTTTCTTTAATCCTAGAAAAATCCAAACTTCTGTCAGATATCAGTGCTCGCCTTTGGTTTACTTACAGAAGGAAATTTTCACCAATTGGTAGGTACGCTTTCTGGGATATGTTTTTTTGTCCCTACCTTCTTTATTCTGTTATTTTTTAAAATCTGTGTGTGTATGTCAATATATATATGTGCGTGTATGTATATATGTATAAATATATAATGCATTTAGTAAGATTTATGTGTTCGTAGTATATGCATTTTAAATAATAAAAAAGTTTATATACACAAAACTTACTAAATATGTAAACGCTAAATGCAAGCTGATATGTTCTTTACGGGCAGTGCTATGCAAAGGAACGAACAATGCATTCTAATAATGATCTCTTGCAGCCTTTGATCTTTTAGTGGGTGTTTTTAAATGGCCCGTGTTGTATCCTCTGGCTATGGTTGGGCTGAATTATTCGATACGCAACAGGTCTTGACGCTTTTAGACTTGTGGAGTCTCTCTGGCGTCTAGTGATTCACTCAAATAACATGGGCTGAAGGTGATGTGTCTCATCCAGTCCAAAAGGCAAATTCAGTATTGTATAAGTTGTTGGGATAGGCCTTGCCATGTGGGTTAGCCAGGCATATTCTGCACGATGGAGTCAAAAAGGGCCACATGTTTTAGTTTAAAGTGCTTAACTAAGCTGTTGGAATCCCTTGTCCATCTTCAGGAAAGAGGAAAAAACATTTGCAAAACTAGAAAACTGGTGAATGATTGTGTATTTGGGAGAGAAACCCAGAAGCCAGACCTGGCCCTAAGACTGGGGTTTCCTAACCTCCTTGGTGGTAGATGCCTTGATGCCTGTTATTGTGGGATTAACTGGAGTGTGGATCTCTTACACTGCTGTAGACTTCCATATGTCATGGCTACAGGATCTTGAACATGTGGCTCACAGTTTTGCTTGAAGCCTTGAAGCTTATTTTCAGGTTAGGTCTTATTTTTGGGGAAACAGGGTGCTTAGTTTGAAGCCTTCTAAAAACCCGTGTTTGTACACGCCCTTCACTTGGCATCCCGTCACTGCATTTTGCTTCTTCAGGGCGGGCTAAGAATTATTCCAGCAGCAAAGAGTGTCTGTGGCTGAGCCTTTTTATTTGCTGTTTGGACAGTACGCCTCAAAAGCTAAATAAGTATGTGTGTGTTCTCATTCTTCCTGTTTCCTGACCCCAGGTGGCACAGGACCTTCCTCCGATGCCGGCTGGGGCTGCATGCTGCGATGTGGACAGATGATGTTAGCCCAGGCGCTGATCTGTCGACATTTGGGAAGGGGTGAGCGTGCTTTTCTGCCATTCAGATCCTTGTGCCTTTGGGATGTTTGGAGGTTGTTTAAGTAGAGGGGAATCCTGGGTGGTAAAAATTTTGGACTGCAGCCATGCAGGCTTTGAGTGGGTATAACCAAAAACCCAAAGATTTCCCATCTCTGATTAGAAGAGCCCTATATTTCATGGAAGTTACAGCACTGAAAATTCCAGCTTACTTACTATATCAAGCCTTTTTATGTATAGCTCATTCTGGTTTTAAGTAACGTATGGTGGAGTCTAGCAACTATTTTAACCCGAAGATTGTGTGTATCACCTGTTGCTGGTGAATGTGTCATGCTCATAGCTAGAAGATATGCACACAATTTTATGCCTATGTTTACTCAGCTGTTAAGTCTCACTACAGGCAACCATAGAGCCTTAATTGGTGTGTTGAATGATCACTTTCAGTTTTCTACCATTCCTGTACTTTGTGATAATATGATATGACATGTAAAATGTTGAATACTTACTTATCTCTGCAAGACTGGATTTGGGAGGAGCACAGAAAGCAGCCTGAAGAATATCACAGAATCCTGCGTTGTTTCTTGGACAGAAAAGATTGCTGTTATTCCATCCACCAAATGGGTAAGAAAGATTTTAAGAGCTGTCCTCACTGTGTTTATCCTCACAGTTTAAGAGTCTTTCATTTTCTATGCTCTGAATTGTTTTCCAGTGTCAACGCCATAGCTGTCAATGTTGGTTTAAAGCTAGAATGTTTAAAAGGGGCATGCTTTGGATGTACAATGGGACCTCCCTATCCGCAGGATCAGTATTTGCTGATTCACTTATCCGCTGGGTGAAAATATTAAATAACCTCTCCCCAGAAATACCTACTTATAAATATTTCCAGTGTGTATATACCAAAACTGGACACTGTACGGAGCCAGAAAAGTTGCAGTGTATAGTGTTGCATATATCTGTGTTTTTCAGCATTCGTGGGGAGGTTTGGAGAAAGCGCAGGTGTAGTGGTAGTGGTGGTGGTGCAGGAGCCATAGAATGAGTCCTTGCATAGGGGCTTTGCTCTGTATTTAGTCATACTTGCCTGAATTCCCCCATCTCTAAAAATATTGCAGAATTTTTCCACGTGAATGGTAAAGCCAGTGAAGCATGTGGTTGATTAGTCCGTGTGTTTCAGAACAGGCCCTGACGCTGAAAGCCAACCTCTGTATGTAAAAAGCATCTAGTGCCTCTGGAATAGGCACAGTGCAATAGGCTTAAGAGGGTACCTTTTGACAGGCAGTGTCCTGACACCTTTATCCTTCCATGTGTCTGTTTAATTTTCTAATCCACACAGCACAGATGGGCGTTGGCGAAGGAAAATCTATTGGGGAATGGTTTGGACCAAATACTGTTGCCCAAGTGCTCAAGTAAGTGAGCTTGTGTATATTGTGTTATCTGCGGGATTTATGCATAGCCCTTCGTAGTAAGCAAGTTGAAAACCTGTTCCTGTGGCTCAGAGTGATGCACAGACTCTTGAATCGTAGCCATTTAGGTTTGATTGCTCACATTCACACCTTGAAAATTCTCTAGCTAGGATATTTTAGTTACTAATTACAAGTATATCTATTCACCTTGCTTTCGCCTCAGTCCTGACCTGACTGGAAGTGTTTCTGCTGGGTTGTTGTGTTTATACAGTATGTATCTGGCTGCAGAGCCAGAATGCTTTCACCTCAGTCGTGACCTGACTGGAAGTGTTTTTGCTGGGTTGTTGTGTTTATATGTATCTGGCTGCAGAGCCAGAGGCTGGGAGTTCAATTCCCCCTCTGTGCCTCCAGGCAGAAGAGCCAGCCTGGGTAGCCTTGGGCCAGCTGCACAGTCCCAAGGTTGCCCCTAGAGGAAGGGAAGGGTAAAGCACTTCTGAATATTCTCTACCTAGCCAACTCTGAACAGGGTTACCATAAGTCAGAATTGATTTGACATGATTATTATGTTTTGCTTTGCAATTTAATTTATGTATTTGTTTATGTTTTATACCACCTTTCCCCCAATTTAAGGGACCCAAGATGGCTCCATTGCAAGCCACTTGGGATTTTGTTCAGATGAGAAATGTTTGTAGAAGTATTTTTAACAAACAATAAGTGTCAGAACAGAGGCAAAGGGAAGTAATTAAATAAAACGTCCCCAACATCCGTGACAAGCTTTTCAAGAGTCTCTCAGTAATGAAGTCAGCACTTTGACCTCTGAGTGGCAGCAAACCTTTATTGAAGGCTGTCTTTTTCTTTATTTCAGAAAACTTGCGCTATTTGATGAATGGAATTCCTTAGCTGTTTATGTGTCCATGGACAACACTGTGGTGATTGAAGATATTAGTAAGTTTTTATAAATATCGGCAATTTTGCATCAGATCAGGCTCTGAATTCAGCCAGGGCTTGGCTCTGTTCTAATTTCGATCCCTGGGAAAACACTAAATGTGATACTGATCTCATTTGGGCATGTGTTGCTGGCTAAATGAAGACCAGGTTTGGAGACCCAGCTGTGCCACATGGCAGTCATTTCAAAAGCCTGTGCCAGCTTGATCCCAGGTCTCTTGAATCCTAATCTCACACTCTTTCCATTACACTACACTTACTATTACAATTCCTGGATAGCTCAGTAGTTTAGGTCTCTAGCCTGCAAAGCCAGATTTTGGGAGTTCGATTCCCCCATGGGGCCTCTTTGACAGGGGCCGGATTCCATTATCCATTTTGGAGGGGGGGGTGTCCCTTCCATTCTCTGCAGTCCTGAGATTATTATTCCCTTTAGGCTGATGACAAATCTCTGGTCAGTCAACAACCAGTTTTTCTCGTTTTTTCTTCCCCAGAGAAGATGTGTCGGTTTCCCACCCCGAACTGCCCCAGTTCCCACTGCAGTTCACTGCTACACAGGAACGTGCTTGGCCGAAGCAAGAGCCCAGTTGGGTTCTGCTGCGGTTGGAAGCCTTTGCTGCTGATTATACCTCTTCGCCTGGGGATCAACCACATCAACCCGGTTTATGTTGATGCTTTCAAGGTACAGATCTCTTAACAGTGTGTCCAGTTCAACAGGTCAGCTGCTGAGGCTCGATTGGAAATGTATAAAACGATAATAGACCTTTGAGCTAGGGATGTGCTATTCAAGTTTTTGGGGCTCACCTAGAGTTTTCTAAGAATGCCCCAGGTAGGATTCTGGGAGTTTCCGCCCACAGACTCACACTTACAGACACCTACCGTATTTTTCTGTGTATAAGACGCCCCCACTTTTCTAACCCAAAATTAAGAAATCTAAGTGGGGCTTAGCAAGAGTAGGGGGAAAGGGATCAAAGCACTGCAGGATCACTTTGATCCCTGCTTTCCCCTCCACTTGTTTTTTTCTCTCTACAGCTTACTTCCATGTCTAAGACGACCCTCAATTTTTCGTCTAAAGATTTTAGACAAAAGCATAGTCTTATACATGGAAAAATATGGCATATTTCACTCACCTGGACCAGGACCTTGCTCTGAGGCTGCATGGCCTAGATCTGGCCTTGCTTCCTGTTGGTAATATACAAAGAGAGAAAGCAGCTGCAGTGCTTCCTGGGAGTGGGGGGGCCCAAAAGACAGTGAGATTGTCACTCCTAGAAAGTACCATGGCTGCTTCTGTTTCTGTACATAACGAGCAAGGCCAAAAGCAGCCATTTAGCCTTGGAGCTAAGGCCTAGTCCAGGTGAATGAAAGATCAGTGTTTGTAGGAGTCTGTACATAGAGGTCCGTGGACTGGAACTCCCAGAATTCTTGGGAGATTCTGGGAGATGGAGTAGGGAAAAGGGCCATATCCCTAATTCGAATCTGGTTTGAGGGAGAAAGATGGGGTAAAATCTAAGGCTTGAATAATAAACCAACAGTACACCCCAGTCCTTGTGGGTCTTCTGAAGGCATGTCGTAATAGCAACCTGAAGTGGGCCCGGTTTACAAACTCCACATATATCCTGCCTTGAAGGCCGTTTTGGAAGATTGGTGGGTTATGTGAAGGTAGAAAATTGACTGCTTCTTTTTTGAATCTTCAGGAATGTTTCAAGATGCCACAGTCTTTGGGAGCTTTAGGAGGAAAACCAAACAACGCCTACTATTTTATAGGATTCTTGGGTAAGGAAAACCGGCTTGAGCCAAAGAATGGTTCTGCCGAGCTCGGAAGCGGGGCTGGCTCAGAATAACACAAGTTGAGTCTCCTGGTTCAGACACGCCCACTTTCACACCCATACATGGGGATCGGAAATACAAGAGGCCGGATGATCTTGGCCTTGGTCTCCAGCGATACATCCTTATCTTCAATGATCTTCTCTCGTTCTTTCATTGTTGCCCTTCTGAATCTCATTCGTCTTCTGATTTCTTGGCTCTACTCTTGCTTTACCCATTCAGGAAATGAGTTGATCTACTTGGACCCTCATACTACCCAGATGTTTGTAGATTCTGAGGAAGCTGGCATGGTAGATGACCGTAGCTTCCATTGCCAACAGGCGCCGCATCGGATGAAGATAATGAACCTCGATCCCTCTGTCGCATTAGTAAGTGTCAGGAGAAAGACTGGCTGCGAGGGCCCATTGACCCCCATGCTCCTCTGATCTAGCTAAACGTTGTACGTAGAGGCAGGGCTCCTGCCTCCTCCTGTCTTCGGAATTTGCAGCAGTACAAAGGAGCCCATCTGAACTGCTTTCCTTAATACAGTACCAGGCAACTGATTGTGTTGGTACCCTCCCGGGCATTGCGGGCATTGCTCTCTGTTCTCTGGCTGTGGAAGAAGTCCATGTTGACAGGTAGTGAAAAGAGAGTGTGTGCGATAATCATCATCATGATCATCATCATGTGCCGTCAAGTCAATTCTGACTTAGGGTGACCCTTTAAAGACTGTTCCAGGTAGAGAATACTCAGAAGTGGTTTGCCATTGGCTGGGGACAAATAAGAGGGCCTTCTCTGTGGTTGCTCCCAGACTGTGGAACTCCCTCCCACTGGAGGCCAGGCTGGTCCCATCTTGGCTGTCCTTCCCCAAGCAGGCAAAGACCGTTCTCTTCAGGCAACCCTTCCCTCAGCGACTGTCCCTCTGAGAGAGGTTTTGTGCTCTGGTGCTCTTAAATGTGTTTTTAGTATTGATTTTTTTAAAAACTATTTTTAATATGATACTTCTTTAACTCTTATTTTTAATCTTTGTATTTGTATTTCTGTTTTCAGCTTCTGTATATTAGCTTTTAAAAGATTTGAGCTACCTTGGGTCCTTTCGAGGAGAAAAATATATTAAAATAAAAAATATTTTCAATTAATGGATAATAAAGGCTAGCGGCCAGGGCCAGGGGCTTGAGGGGTGGATAAATTGAAATTCTATGCTGTCCTTCAGGGGAAGACAGAAAAGCTCCCCAGTACTTACTGAACTGTAAGTACTTTCTAAGACTGCAAGTTACTAGGATTTTTTTAGAATTATGGCATCATAATTCTGGTGAAAATGGTATCAGACCACTGCGACTCTGCAGTAAACATAACAGTCTGGAATATTGTGGGATTTTGGCCTCCCTTTTGCCGTTTGACTTCTACCTGCCAGTGGGGAAGTTTCATGAGCAGCCGGACTTCTTATCAGAAAGAGAGAAGGCCATAGTGCCCCATTCTGGATGACTTAAGAAGTAATCTGGAAAGGGTCAGATTTGGCCGTTCCCTGCCTTACGGTTCTACCTTGGGTTTATCTGGCTAAGTGACACTTAAAACGTTTCTTTGCTTTCACAGGGCTTTTTTTGCAAAGAAGAGAAGGATTTTGATAACTGGTGTAGCCTTGTGCAGAAGGTAAATCTGTTCATTGTTGTGCTAGATAAAGTGTGGAGTGCATAAACATCATAATACAGCGTGGACCAAGGCTCTTTTACATGACTCCCCTGGATGGGTCCACAGCTGCGGCTCCTGTAGTGGAAACCTGGAAGTTGTTCCCAAATCGAAATGACTGTTCCTTGAAGTAACCCACTGACACAGTGTGGTTCTTCACATGGGAAAACGAGGATGGAAGAGATGGGGAGCCCTGTATTCAGATGTTAAACCTAATCCTTTCATTGAAAACTGAATAGCATTTAAGCAATAAACTGTGATTATTCTCCTATGATTAGAGTGGGATTTCATTGTGGTCTGCTTTTATGGATTTCCTTCCAGTTAATAATGATATATGTGCAAGTGTAGAAAGGTCATATTCAGCAGCATATGCCAAATGAATAGTAGATTTTAAAAAAACACCCTACATCCTGTCTCTTTGAGCTGCATTAGTTCTCTATATGGGCATTAAGTACAGTACTTTTCATACAGACATTAAAATTGTCTTCAGTGATGCAGTTGACTTCTCTAGAGAACTAAATAAGTTTCATGTTCTTGCAGAGAAAATGAAGAGGCATATCATTCTATGCAATTCCACTCAACAGTAGATAAACCATTCATCTACCATGTAGTTAAATAGTCTAATGCACATTTTAAGAAGGAAATATTTTTTTTCTGTCCAGGAGATACATAAGCAACAGAGTCTGCGAATGTTTGAGTTGATTCAGAAGCATCCACCCCACTGGCCTCCTTTCATACCTCCTGCAAAGCCAGAAGTAACGACAACAGGAGCAGGTAAAAGACCAAGACCATGTTTAAAATACAGTACAGTAGGGCTCCCGTATCCGCTCGGGATTGGTTCCAAGCCCACTGAAAACTGCGAATAATAGTGAACACTATATACATGTCATGGTAGAAGGGGAAAAAAACCCAAAATAGTACAGTTCAAACTAAATCATTACTTCCTGTTTTCTGTGCCAGGTCTGCCTTAGTAAGCCTTCAAGATCAGCCATTTTTCTTATGTTTTGTTGTTTGCCACAACCTTTCATTTTCTGGGGAAGCTGTAAACATTTATACACTATATACATGTCCATGGGCGGAATTTGATTGAACCCTTTATTTCCTCCTCGTCCAAACACGGTGCAGCGGCTGATTGTGTGTGAAGAAGCAAAAAAATAGCTATTAGCGTTCCTCTCTTTCCTCTCTCCACTGCCGCCAGTCCAGCTCCATATCCCTGGGCTACAGTGAACAAGCATGGCACCCAGAGATGGGCAAGAATCATGGGTTTGTTAGTTCATGGCGGTTTGTTTCTTGGCCGAACAGATTTTTGCCCCGCCTCTTAAGTGGGTGCCCACTGGAGTAGACGGGGGCTAGGACCCGCCGAAGATCTGTTCGGACGATACAGTGAACCACCGGTTCATGCCCATCTCTGACGACACCTGTGAAAATGCTCAAGAGAATGGAGAGATGGGGAAGCCTTACAGCAATGACTCCTGGTTTAGTGGTATGGGGGTTTTCTGCTTCATGCAGCGCATTGCTGAACTGCTGTTAGCGTCACGCCTGTGTAAGAATTGGTGTTCTTACCAGACTTTATTGATTGGTTCGTTTTATTTATAGGCAGACTTTCTCCTGAGAAAGGGACCCAAGGAGGATCACAATGGGAAAAAAAGTAAAAAGATAATAAACTTTAAAAAACCAAACTATACGCTAATTAAAATACGATTGAAATATAATTAAAAGCAGTTAAACACTAAAACTAATATCAACTTTGAAAAAAGGCATTCAGGGACTCACTAAAAGCCAGCCTGAAAAAGTGGGTCTTCAGCCATTGGCAGAAGGATGAAAGGGAAGGAGATCAGCCTCATCTCCTGAGAGAGAGCGCATCCCATAACCTGGGAGCTGCCATAAAGAAGCCCCCCCCCTCGTGTTCTCATCAATCCAGAAGTACACCCAAGCGCTGAACCTGAATGTTCAGGGGACGTATAACCACATCTACCACAGGTTATATACATTTTCCTTCCTCTGCATTAAGTTTCAGTTTGCACGCATAAAAGCCACCTGGAATCCTGAATTAACAGGGAGCTTTCATTGTCTGAACCGTTATATTCTTTACAGGCTGGGCGGCTTCTGTTGCACGAAGACGACCGGTCACTAGTTTGATTTAGGAGTCTTGTTACAATAGTCTACTCATTTATTTCATGAACAGGTGCAGTCCCTTGAGAATCACTGCTGTCTTTCCCCCCCTGCCTTCTTCCACAGAGCTGATCGAGTCCACGGACAAACTGTTTGAATTGGAAGAAGAGTTTGAGATTCTGAGTGTATGAAGGAAGCTTCCTCCTTTCCTTCTGTGTGGGCGCCCATGCTTAGCATCCAACGGTGATGAAGACCACACTGCCTTTCTATTCCCGAAGTGCCTGGAAACAAACTCTGGACAGAACGCAAGAGCTGAGTAGCCCCGGGAACTGAACCATTTCAAAGGGAGCTTTCCTGGGAAAGAATGAAGGGACAGATCCTAGCTCTGCATTTTTTAGCTTGTGCATTTTTTTCAGGCTCTTGTCTTGTCTAGAAAAAGAAAAAGAGAACCCGATGGGGATAAGAAGAAAAGTGATATTGCAGTAAAAGACTCTCTGTATAGCTGGGAAATCCCTCAGAGGCACCGGTTTCTGGACGGCTGTTACTGCTCCCATGTGTAGTACACAATGCAATAGTTCTGCTCACGCCCAAAGCATGAAGTTGAGGTCAAGGAGTGGATTTACCTCCTTGTTCCCTCACGTGGACAGTTTCATAGGAATACGTGTCCGTGTCTTGTCTCAGAAGACCCAACCGATCAGGCAGAAACAGTGGTTTGTTAAATATTTTAACATTGCTGCAACTGCATGTCTAAAACATGTCTATAGAAAGGAAACGCAATGCTGCAGTTTTTACAGTTGCTCTCCTGTTTCTAGGAGGTATGTAAATGACTCACGCGGGGGGGGGATTGGAGGGGGCCATCCTTCAGCCCCCCACTTAGCTTCTCCCTACCTCCAGCCACAGAAAGAGAGGGAGGCTCCACAGCAAACATCGCAGGAGCAGTAAGTAGCTCTCCTCCACAATTTTTACAACATATTTCACCTTGACCTTAAGTTTCAATCATTATCCAAACTTTCACTTTTGCTTTCGAGAATAATATTATTTTAATGGTTATCTTATTTATTTTAAATTAAACATTTGACAGTTCTTTCCCTCCTGGTATGAGCACTTTATCTGTGCATCTAATAAATTTCTTAAATGTTTAACAGGTCGCATGCTTGACTTTTCTGAATGATTTGTATCTTTATAAAAACCAAAGGAAATTACTGTAGAATCCCCAGAGCTGCAGGCGATTGGTTCCTAGGCCCCTGTGGTTGCCAAAAACCTGTGTATAATAGTGAAAGCTATACATGACATGATCACTGCCTCCTTCTAGTGTTGAGTAATGGTAACTACATTGTGGATATACATATTTCTGGGATTTTTCTTTTAATATTTTCAGACCGTGGATAAGTGAAACCATGGATATCAGACATGCAGCTATTGTAGCATCAGCTATTTGACATCTCAGTAGCAATGTACCAAGACAAGCTCTCAGTTTACTATAAAGTTTGACATTTTATTATGAGTTTAGCAAATACCTTTACACGAGTTAGAAAGAGAGGTTACTTATCTGTAACTCCGGTTCTTCGAGTGGTCATCTGTGAATTCACACTAATGGGTTTAATCTGCGCTTGCACAGAGGTCTCCGGAATATTCTAGAGCTTTATGATACCTTCATCAAGCGGATTCATAGAGAGATCATGAAGAAGAACCTCAATGAGTTTACTGTGTGTAAAATGACTCACAAAACAGGTATAGTTTGTTTTTTATGAAGTCTTGGGGGAAATAACCATACAATCAGTGTTCCAAAAAGGGTTTCTAACAGTGCATTAGGAAGACACTCTTTCTTCCTTAGAGGAAATAGAATGAAATGGACAGGGTCTGAAACAGCAGGAAAGATTTATCCAAAAGCAACACCGTGTAACATTAGCATCAAACTAAATTAGTACAGTAGTATATTAACAACTTGGGCACCAAGAGATCCAGGGCTACCTCTGTGAGAAAAGAGCAAAATTTTTAATGTAAATTGTTGAGTGCAACTGGAAAACCAATGTGTAAAAATTGCTTATTCCCAGTATAATACCACAGCCACCCTCCAGATATATACGAGTACAAGTCCCAGCTATAAAACATTATGCCTGCAACTACTTTTAAGCTCACAGAGCAGAAATCGTTAGAATAAGGGCTGGAAATATTTTCCACCTTAAGGGCTGAATTCAATTTTCAGATTCGGTTCTGAAGGATGATCCTTCAGCAGCGAGTCCGGCCCAAATGCCACAGTATTTTAGCTTAAAGCTCTTACTATCAATAACTTAAGCTTTAGGATGTGTATTTTGTAGAGTTGTGCAGATTGGTGGTTTTTTGGAGAACCACCTAGAACGCCTCAGGCCACGGTCTCGGGCATCCTGGGAAGTTTTAATCCAAAAACACCTGTCTGAACACATTTGGTATTTCAGCCTTTTAGAACAGGAAAATGTGGATCAACTGGCATAGCATCACGAGAGAAAGATCTGTCTGGGGGAAGACCAGAAGGTCTGAGTCCGTTCCTGGGGCTGAGATTTCCCCATTGCTGAGTTAAGGAGCCGTCAAACGAATTATTCTCAAGCTTTTCTATTCCTGTTACAAATTAACGATGAAATCGGAGATGTAATCATCGTTTTCATTTTAGGCTCTTAACCTTTATATATATGACCCAACATGTGTTTCCATGTTGAGTAGAAAGCTATTGCAGTCTCCTGCTCCAAAGCAAGATCAGCACTTAGAAAAATTTCTTTTTTTTACTACCACTCCCATTGGGAGTTGGGAGTCCGTAGAAGCAATTTTTCCAAGAGCTGAACGATACTAGTGACACCACCCCTGTAATATTAGGCTATGGCAACACAACCTTGAACACAGTCTGGATTCTGCCTGTGTTGCAAGCTGAAACCAAGAATTCTAGTAAAGCACACGCTTCTGCATATCGTTAAAAGAGTTACGTGCGCAGAGGCCTTTGTGAAAGAAAAACGACAGCTCACACATGGCTAGTCTTCATTCTACTTTTGTAGAATAAAGCCGCAACTGTTAAAAGGACATCAAAATTGCTGCAATTTTGTCAGTAGACGGCTTGAGCGGAGGCCCTATTGCTACCTCCATGTGCCGTTTGCATCCAGAGTTAGGGAAGAGTTTGGTCTCATGAAGACAATCCGAGAACTTCCCAGCTTAGTTGACATCCCAGCAAAAAGCAGACATGAAGAGGTTCAGCAACAGTGAAAGATGGATAACAGCAGTCGTGTGCCAGGCTTAATTCCTCTGAAAGCCACAGACAGTTATGCGAACGTACCTCCGTGTGCCGTTTGCATCCAGAGTTAGGGAACAAGGAGAGGTTTTGGTCTCATGAAGACAATCCGAGAACCTCCCAGCTTAGTTGACATCCCGGCAAAAAGCGGACATGAAGAGGTTCAGCAACAGTGAAAGATGGATAACAGCAGTCATGTGCCAGGCTTAATTCCTCTGAAAGCCACAGACAGTTGCGCGAACAATTTCCCTTTCGTGTTCAAAAGGCGCTCACTTCTCCATTCGTTGGTTTGAGAACAAATCTGACAAAAATGAGATCCTCTCCTCCATGGACCTGGACAGAATGTAGGGGTGCAGCTGCTTCTAATGCAACGGTGCAAGTGGTAGCTTCCAAAATGCCGTATCCGTCGGGTCTGCTAACAGCCAGTCGCCTAAGGTGAGTGGAATTGCCTCTAGGTGACCCATTGTGGACACTTGAAACTGTGGACTCTTTGTGAAATCTTCCAGGCATGCCATAGCCAAACAAAAAAAGTTAAACAGGGGCAGTAGAGGCCGTCAGCCTTGCCATCGTTGTTGAAGAGTGGTCTCGGGGATGTTTCGGATTTTTTGTGAGCTCTGAATCCATATGATGAGAAGCAGTGCATCATGGCCAAGGACCTGAGAGAAACATCATCTCTCAAGAGTCCATGTAATTTGATTTTTTAAAAATCTGTACAGTACATCACGGGACAAACAGTGGCACCTGGGAAGTAAAATGAAGACTTTCTGAGGTAGCCGTGAATCCAAAATACAGGGAAATGTAGCACCATGTCCTGGAATACAGACGAGCGGGCAGGATCCAAGGAGCACTGCGATCCTCTCAACACACCGGGGAAGTTGACACAATCCTTAATTTTCAATCGAATGAGACTTCCAGCCCCCTTGTCGTTGGCTCCGATGGGTCTGAGCCCTCCGCTATAAGTTCTTCATGCAGACTTGGCATCGGCCGACCCGTGTTCGGAGTTGCCCTGCTTTAAGGGTCTCCGAGATGGGGAAGTCAGCAAACTGCTGGGTCCGTTCCACTGTGGTCAGCCAGAAGCTGTACTTGTTTGCAAAGTAATGGCAGGTTCCCCGGGCTCCGTTGCACTCGATGAAAGGGGTGGCCCGGAAATCTTCCAGGCAAGACCCTGGGGAGACGAGGGATTGCCCGCCGCCTTCCGCTCCCGCAGCGGTGTGCTGAAAGAAAGCCATCGAAAGGGAAAAGAACAATTAAGGGGGTAATTATTGGTACAGCGGAACAAGAAGGGGCCACAACGCAGGCTTTTGGTGAAATCTGGCTCACCGTTTGCATGCACCCCCTGTAGGGAGGGCCCCCAACAGCCCCAAAACAGAAAAAGATGCCTATCAAGGGGGAAGGGAGAATGAGTACAGTAGACTGGAGTATCCATGGAAGATACGTTCTGAGCCCTCAACAACCCCTGTGGATGCTGGAAATCGCAGATATAGCAAACCCTATAAATAACATAGTCCCTGATTTCCTCTAGTGGCCAGTTCTGGTAATACACCTTGGAAATATGTATTCCTGGGGTTTTTTATTTAATATGCCCCTGTGAGGAAGAAACAGTTGAGTCCTTGGCACACACACCATTGTAGAAGGCAGCTTATATAGGTTCAAACGTATCTGCTATCTCTACCCAATAATGTGTAAATGTACTAGTATATCTCCCACAGACTACGTGAAGTTTCTGCTGTTGGGAGAGAACCCATTAATAACACAGTTGGTGGCTAAGTTTTTATTCTCAGTTTTAAGAATTCGTAAAATGTTATATTAAGACAACCACCTGACTCAAATTTTATACTGCCAATACGTTATAACACTTGTTCTGTATATCTTGTATTATGTTTTTAATCTTTGAATTTTTGGGTCTATGACCGTAATAAAACTTAACTATTTAATATTTTCAAGGAGCGGATAAGTGAAATCATGGTTACTGACTGCACAGATACAGAAGGGTCCCTTATAATGATGATAATAGTTTCTAAGAATGGCAGAACTGGAAGGCACTCAATGGATGATATGAGTCTTCCTCCTGTCAAGGAGGCCTAGTGGGGAATCGAACTTCCAACTTCTGGCTCCATAACCAGAAACCCAATGTTTCTTCTCCTGTCCGCTTTTAAGATTTGGATCCCAAGCAAAACTTAAGTTCTTCTCCTGGAGGCCAGAGTGGCACTCTCTTACCATGAGGAAAGAGTATCCGATCCACAGGCTGCGCCAGCCTTCCGGGCACTGGGGGATGGTGATGTCCTGGCTGTGAACGGCCACCGCCTGGGAAGGCGCCTCGCACACCGAGCAGCGGCTGATGTACTGCGAGATCTGGTAGCTGCCGACCGGCATCATCGGGATGGGCGCCGTGGTGGAGAGCCAGTAGGATTTGTCGTTGCGGCTGGCGTAGTAGCACACCTCGTTGATGTTGCAGTAAATAAAAGGCATGGTGCTGAAGCGGGGCAAGCAGGATCCTGCAAAGCCTTCCACGAACAGGCAAGGAGGCAGGGGAAGAAATAAGAAGCCCAAGTCAATATCGAGCGCCGTCCCAGAGGTCCTAGGAACGCACCTTCTGGATTCTTTGGACTACAAATCCCATAATTATTTATTGGGCGAGTCCCGCCAGCAGGACCTAGACCTGACAGACACCTAAATTGTGCTCGCCTGGAAGAATGGCCTCCCGGCCGCCTTCATCCTTTGGCTAAGCCTAACTTCCTGTTTGGAAAGGAAGCTTCCTAGCCACCCTCAGGGCAGCTTCCTTTCCAGACAGGAAGTGAGGTGTCTTCAAGGCATGAAGCCGGCCAAGGGGGTCTTCTCAGGCCAAGGGCTCTTCCTTGGCTTTCCCCCTTCCAAGCTAGCAAGAGCAGGAAGGCACTGGCCATCGGCTTACCCAGGTCTTGGTTGTGCGCCTTCTCTTGGCCCTCGACGTACAACAGACTGTAGCCCTCCCAGAGCTTGTTCATGCCCACGGGGCACAGGGGGATCTGCTCCGACTGGCTGTGCTTCACCAAGGTGTACCCGACACTGACGCTGCGTCCTGGCATCCCGGGCAAACCAGCAGATCCTGGCTTCCCAGGTGCTCCTTGGGAGAAAGAGAAGTAGTTGGATTAGGGCCATGGTAGAAAGTTTGCCAGCAAAGCTTGGCCTTGCATGGATGAAGTTAGGGCAGAGAAACAAAAAGTTACAGGACATATCATTAGCTGTAAGAAGTCACTTCTGGGGAGCAAAAGCAATGTCATGAATTTACAGTAAATCCCCTCTATCTGTGGGATCAGTATCCACAGTTTCACTTATCCACAATCTGAAAATATTAAAAATATTAAAAGAAAACACCTGGAAATGCATATTTATATAATGTAATTACCAGAACTGGTCACTAGAGAGATCCAGAGACCATGCTATGTATAGAGTTCACTATTATCTGCTGTTTTCAGCATCCACAAGGGGTTTGGAACTGATTCCCCAGGGATCCTACCGTGTTTCCTCGAAAATAAGAGAGGGTCTTATATTAATTTTTGCTCCAAAAAAACACATTAGGGCTTATTTTCAGGGGATGTATTTTTTTCATGTACAACCATCTACATTTATTCAAATATAGTCCTGTCCTCTTCTTCTGGTTGCTGCACAAGGGTGGAGGACGGGGTTTCACTTAACTGGGGCTTATTTTGGGGGTAGGGCTTATATGACGAGCATCCAGAAAACTCATACTAGGGCTTATTTTCAGGTTAGGTCTTATTTTCAGGGAAACAGGGTACTATACATTTCTAAAGTAAGGTAAGGAGGAAAAAGGAAATTTCCAGTGTAACAAGCAACTTTACTAGTCGCTTTAAAAGTTGCTTTTAAGGGCCATTTTGATAATACTTTTCTCCATCCTGAGGGCTTTTTCAAGGATGGGAAAGCAACATGTTCAGACAAGGAGCTCCTTTTCAAGCCCTGACAAGGGATTATTTTCAAGCACTAGAGTGAGTAATGGGAACAAATTACTCTTCAGAAGAAACTCCCAAAGATCTAGTTGAAGTATCTGCGCTCAGCCGAGAATCCTGAAACGAGAACCTTTGGCTCAGATCGGGGACCGGGGAAGCCAAGTGGAGGTCCAAAGCTCCCTTATATTTCCAGGTGTCGTGGGAGGGTGGAGGGGGCCACCTCCTCCTGGCAGGTTCCCTTCACCTGTCCCAGAAAGGCCCCCTCGGAGCAATGCGATCTCGCTGTCCACGCTTGAGAACGGAAAAGGGGTATGTTTCGAGAGGCATTTCCAGTGGCGTTACCCCCCGGCCTTGAAATTCACAAGGAATTCCGGAGGGACCCTCGGTCCTCCAGAGAAGTTCACTCCTGAATTCATTCGGCGAGGCTCCCGAAGCCCGAAAGTCGGGGAGCGAATATCAACTTTTATGAAAGCCATAAATAATTGTAAGGTAGTTTGTAAGTAAGGTAGCAAAGCGCTCCAGGCGTCTTTTAAAGAAGTGAAGAAGAGACAGCAATGTCCTCAAGGAGTAACGCAGCAACCATATTTACCTTCAAATCCCGGCGGTCCTGGGTTCCCCGGAGACCCCGGGTCGCCCACCATCCCCGGGGGCCCTGGTAGGCCATCCGTCCCCATCTGACCAGGTCTACCTGCTACCCCTTTGGGACCTGTGTTTTCCAACAACAACAAAAAAACCCAAACACCAGTAAACAAACAAGCTCTTGATAGGTTTCTTTACTACACCACCATCTTCCCCTCAGAAAACAAGATACAGCCATCACCGTTACCAAACCCAGCGTATCCCTTTAACAGTCCTCTCATCAACGGATGACTCTGTTAACAAAGGATTTAAGTCAACGCATCAAACTTCTGCCACAAGTTAGTCTTAAGGCAATCGGATGAATGTGGAGGTTTTCCAGGCTGGATGGCTTCAGAATGCCAAGCGGCACAACATGAAATTTACAGACCTTTTCTACTCAATCCCTCACAAAGGCATATTTTGGGGTGGACTGCTGCAGAACCTGGAGGTTCTCCTAAACAGCTATCCTGGTGAAACAGCCATTGATGGAGGCAATCCTGCAATAAGTCCTCGGAGAGGCTCCAGAGAGAGGTGGCTTTACCTTGCCGACCAGTTAGTCCCTGGAACCCGGGGTCACCGTTTTCACCAGGGATGGCATCGATCCCGGGGAGTCCCATTACGCCTGGTGGGACCTTGATTTCTTCGGGCTTTTGTGTCACGCCGGGAGGCCCCTGTACTCCAGGGAAACCTGCAGGTGACAGAGAACAATATCGCCGGGGGAGCTGTCAAAAATTCTCTAAGGCAGCGAGGGAAGTAAAAACCAGAGCCCCTGTTTCTTATTTTTAATCAAATGCAAAATGCAAAACAAAAAACAAAAACAAAATGCTAATGAAAAAGAAAGGGGGGGAACAGGGTGCAGGAGAGAAAGGGGTCAATGTGGGAAACCTGCAGGTGACAGAGAACGATATCACCGGGGGAGCTGTCAAAAATTCCTCTAAGGCAGCGAGGGAAG